TGTCACACTCCATGTGTTGGTTACTGGATTTATTAAAGGGAATTGTGGGTATAATGACACATTGGTTTCAAGCAATTCCTATGAAAATTCCAAAAGATTTTTTATATATACACAGATTCTAAAATTTCTATGTAAATAAAAAGCAACTAGTATAGCCTAATTAATTTTATAAAAAATAAAGTGGAATCAATCTACCTGATTTATCATATAGCTACCAGTAATCCAGATAGTGTGATATTCACAGCAGGAGAGACAGAAATGAATGAACAGAATAGAGAACCCAGAAATAGACACAAACACGCCTGACTGAGTTTTCACAAAGGCACAAGATAATTCAATGGAGAAAGGAGAAACTTTTCATCGATTAAACTTCCACAGGCAAAAAAAAAAACCCCACAAATTTTAATGTCACACATGATACAAAAGTTAAAATGGATTGTGGGCCTAGATGTAAAAACTATAAAACTTTAGGAAAAATACACAGGAGAAAAACTTTAGGATCTAGGGACAGGCAAAGTGTTCTTAGACTCAACACCAAGAGCACAACACAAGGAAAAATGGATAAGCTGAACTTTATCAAAATATAAAATTTTGCTGTGTGAAAGACCTTATTTAGAGAATAAAATGCCAAGCTTACATTGGGAGAAAACATTTGCAAACCTCATATCCGACAAAGGATTAGTATCTTAAAACTCAACATTCTAAAAGCAAATAATCCAATTACAAAATGAAGAAAAGACATGAATAGACATTTCCCAGAGGATATACAAATGGCAAATAAGCCCATGAACAGATGTTCATTATCAATAGCCATAAGAGATGCAAATTAAAACCACAATGAGATATCACTCCACACCTATCAGAATGACTAAAATAAAAAATAGTGACAACACCAAATGCTGGTGAGTGAGAATATGGAAAAAATAGATACATTGCTGGTGCAATGTAAAATAGTACAGCCATTCTGGAAAACCAATTTGGCAGTTTCTTGAAAAACTAAACATTTAACTACAACGACTCAGCAATTGCACTTGTATGCATTTATTCTGGAGAACTGAAAACATACGTTCACACAAAGACCTGTACATAAATGTTTATTAGCAACTTTAACTGCAACAGGCAATAACTGCAAACAACCCAGATGTCCTTCAGGAAAATGCAAATTAAAACCACAAAGACATACCACTACATAAACACTAAAATGGCTATAATAATAATAAAAAAAAGACAGGCAATTCCAAGTGTTGGAAACGGTGTTGGAAAAGTTAAACATAGGCTTACCAAACACCCTTACATCCCACTCTTCAGACTCTACTCAAGACATATGAAAAAAGATGTCTACACACAGAGACCTGAACAGTGACGTTCACAACAGCATCATTCTCAATAGCCAAAAAAGTGGAAACAATCCAAATGTTCATTAACTGATGAATGGATAAACAAAAATGTGATGTATCTTTAAAGTGGAATACTATTCAATAATAAAAAGGAACAAACTATGGACATATGCTACAGCATGAATGAACCTCAAAAACGTCCTTAGTGGTAGAAGTCAGATGCCAAAAAACTACATATATAGGAGTATGAAGGCATTTTAGGGGTTTTGTTTGGACTGGTGACTATATAGGTGTATGAAGCAGTCAAAATTCATCAAACTGAAGATTCAAGATTTGTGTTTTATTAAATGTAGATTACACCTAAATGAAGAAAATCTTGTTTGATTCTGCTATAGAAGTTCCAAGTGGTAAATGCTTGGCCTTCATTGTTTATATTAGAAAGAAGAAAGGCTGAAAGAAAATTGATGATTCAGTATTTAGTTAAAAACAGCACATTATCTCTAAAGGAATGAAAAGGGAATAATGAAGAAATCAATGAAATAAAAGGTACAATAAAAACACAACAGGGCCTCCCCAGTGGCGCAGCGGTTGAGCGCTGGATTGCGAAGCTGCCCACGGCCTCTGCGGCGCCGGTTCGATCCCCGGCTGCTCCCCAGCCACCGGAGAAGGGTCCCACATGGCGCGCAGACCTCTCCTGCTGCCCGCTGCTCCCCTCAGCAGTGTACTTCGGTCCTTCTGCCTGCTCTGCTCCTTGCTCTGGCTCTGGTGAATTCTCTCACCCTCCCGTGCTTCTGACTGTACCCAGTGCATGTATAAGCAAAACAAACAAACAAGTAAAATAAATAAATAAAACATGCCTCTATAATATAAAAAATAAAAAATAAAAAATAAAAACACAACAAAGCCAAAAGTAGGTCTTTTGAAAAGACTAGTAATTAAAAAAAAAAAATAGATGGGTCATAATAGCTGGTGAGAAACTTTGGAGACAAACAAAAGGTTGCTGAGTTAGTGCTTTAAAGAATGTAAATCACTGAACTAATGGGTTTTGTTGCATTTTTACAACCCTTTGGAGAAGGTTGAAGATGATTTCACAAATCATAAGGTCCCTAAGACTTAAGAGAATTCACAAGGGATAACGATCTTGTTTAACTTTGAGCTATTCAACTTCTGTACCTTGTCATCACTAAAAGGCATTCCTGGTTAGTTGAAACTCTTACTGTGATATTCTTGACATACATATATTTTTTTAAAAGATTTATTTATGCATACAAGAGCTGGGCTACAGACCAGAGATGCGGGGGGTGAGAGGGTTCACCAGAGACAGAGTGGGCAACAGAACAGGCAGACTGACGAAATACACTGCTGAGGGGAGCAGCAGGGATGAGACAGGAGAGGTCTGCCTCACCATGTGGGTTTCTCTCTGGCCGGCCGGGGATTGAACTCGTGCTGCAGAGGCTGCGGATTGCTTCATAGTGCAGTGCTTAACCCCTTGCACCACCAGGGAGGCCTGACATACATATTATTTACAAAGGACTTATTGCTAACTCTTTTGGAGTGTAATACTTAAAGTTATGGTTTCTGTGAATGCTTGTTATTAGGGAATATATTACTTACTTATGCTTGTAACAGGAAATTATATTTGCTAGAATCTACTTATTGTAGGACTGTAGATTGTATGACTTCACTACTATGTAAATGGGAGGAATTCACTTGGCAGTCTTGACTTTCTCCCTGTAAAATTGTTTGAAAAACTAAAATTGTGATTCCAACAGATTCAACACTAAGTAAGGCCTATGCGAACTTGTTCCTTTGACACTCCTCTTCCTTCTTTTTGCTGACGGGAGCAATAACCAAAACTAAATTATGAATTCTCAAAGCACAGAGATAATGTTATCTCAGCGATTTTCATATTATTAGTTTGGGGCCAGTATTTTCTTTTTTAAAAAAGATTTATTTATTTATGCATACAAGAACTGGGGTACAGGCCAGAGGCATGGGGTGGGAGAATCCACCAGAGACAGAGTGGGGAACAGAACAGGCAAATTGACCTAAATACACTGCTGAGGGGAGCAGCAGGCGAGCCAGGAGAGATCTGCTGTGCCATGTGGGTTGCTCCCTGGCCGGCCAGGGATCAAAATGGTGCTGCAGTAGCCACTGCGGATTGCTTCACTGCGGTTGTATCTTAACTCCTTGTGCCACCAGGGAGTTGGGCCAATATTTTCACCTTTAATTTTAAGCAGGGCTGAATCAAAGGTGGCTTTACTTTATTTCATAATGGAATAAATGTACTAGAAAATGTATCAATTATTCCTTTCTGGATAAATTTGGGTGTCCTACAATTATTGCTCTAATAAACAATGCTAGAATAAACATCTTTTTACATAGGTCTTTGTGGACATGAGCAAATACTTCTTCATGACACATTCCCAGATAGGGAATAATGGGTCAAAGGGTAAGATATTTAGGTTTTGATAGATAATCAAACTATCCTCTTTGAAAAATGTGCCGGTTTATACTTCTTACCAACAATATCTCGTGAGCAACACTTTTCAACTTTAATGAGTGAAAATGAACTGCCTGGTTAGTTTTCATGTTCCTTATTAAATAGGGTGAGTAATTTACAAATGTGTACTGGATATTTGTATTTCTCTTATAAATAGCCTATTTGCTAGATGGATTTTTCCTATTGCCAAATAGCTGAAGTCAGATAGTATTATTCAATAATGGTGCTTTATGTCCCAGAATACAGCACGATCATCCTGATGCCCAAGGTTTGTTAACATCCCCTTAAATGGAAGCACTGAAATGTTTAATGCTTCATGAACAGTGAACTAACCCAAGTATAAAAATACAAATGCCCAGCACAAAACTCATTTTCTGATTCAGCAAGACCCCACTTTCTTTTTTTAAGATTTATTTTTGCATACAAGAGCTGGGATGTAGGCCAGAGGTGTATGGGGGGAGGTGAGAGGATTCACCATAGACAGCGTGGGGCAAATTTACTGAAATACACTGCTGAGGGGAGCAGTAGGCGAGACAGGTCTGCTGCACCATGTGGGTAGCTCCCTGGCCGGGGATCGAACTTATGCTGCAGTGGCTGCTTCTAGCTTCATAGTGCTGAGACTAAACTCTTTGCGCCACCAGGGAGGACCCAAGACCCCACTTTCTAAGTAACTGAAAACAGTACAACCCCTCTCTGTTGTGGAGTCTGAGGTACACAAGAAGCTCCACAGAGATGGGATGCCCCCTCTGCACCTGCCACTGGGACCTCTTCACTGCTCGTAAGTTCTGTCTACCCAAATCAGTGGCATTTGGTGTGCTCATGAGTCTGCAGGAATCTTCCTGCTAGTCCTTGTGCACATGAAGTGACAATATTTTGTCCCATTTGTTTTTTGTTTTGTTTTGTTTTTTATAGAGGCATGTTTTATTTGTTTGTTTGTTTTGTTTATACATGCACTGGGTACAGTCAGAAGCACGGGAGGGTGAGAGAATTCACCAGAGCCAGAGCAAGGAGCAGAGCAGGCAGAAGGACTGAAGTACACTCCTGAGGGGAGAAGCGGGCGGCAGGAGAGGTCTGCGCGCCATGTGGGACCCTTCTCCGGTGGCCGGGGAGCAGCCGGGGATCGAACTGGTGCTGCAGAGGCCGCGGGCAGCTTCGCAACCCAGCGCTCAACCGCTGCACCACTGGGGAGGCCCTCCCATTTGTTTTTGATCTGACTAATTTGTGCTAAGAATATTAACCTTTTACACTATGTTAAGTTTTAAGTATTTTTTCCTAATCTACCTTTTAAATCTGTAGTATTTTAGGTCCGAAGTTTTGAACCTTTTTTTTTTTTTTTAAGATTTATGCATGCATGCAGGAGCTGGGGCACAGGCCAGAGGCACAGGGTTTGGGGGGTGGGGGGAGAGGATTCGCCAGAGACAGAGCCAGAACAGAACAGGCAGATTGACTGAAATACACTGCTGAGGGGAGCAGCCAGGAGACAGGAGAGGTCTGCTGCACCATGTGGGTTGTTCCCTGGCTGGCCGGGAATCAAATTCGTGCTGCAGTGGTTGCGGATAGCTTCATAGGTTGTGTCCTAACCCTTGCGCCACCAGGGAGGCCCCAAGTTTTGAACCTTTATGTATGTAGCAGATCTGACATTTCCCGTTAATGGCTTTTGAGTTTGTTTTGCGTTCCTCATCTGAATTAATTTCTTATTAATAAAATGAAATGTTAAATGACTTAAGAGATCTTTTATCCCCAAATGGATAGTTACTTAGACTAAAAAACTGTCTATTTCATTCCCCGACATAAGATGCTATCTATAGCATATACTAAAATTTTGCATCTTGTAAAGCTTGTTTTGATGATCCATCTAGTCCTCCATCAATACCACTTCTTATACTGTGCCTCCTAGGAATTTACATTTCCAAATCTTTTATCAGAGCAATTTCTTTAAAAAACTAAACTGAATTTCTTAACACTGAATTTATAGGAAAAAATGAGTTATCATTACAACATTGAGTATTCTCATCCAGTCTTTTCTCATTCATCTTTTTGTCCTTCAGCAAATGTTAGTTTTATTTACATGTATCTTGCATATTCTTATTTATACCTGGGTAGTTTATAGCCATAGCATTTTCTCATGTGAGTGGGTGTGTTGTGTATACTAATCAGAAATTCAGTGAATGAGCAATCTTTGCTTATTTATCATGAACTTTTCCAGCTCCCTGGATTCTCTTAAGATTTTCAGTTTCTGTATTCCATTTCTATGTATATTATCTTATACCTTATAAATAATGCTGTCACTTCGATTCCCAATAGAGTTCCAATGTTGCAGAATTGAAGTGGCAGCTGACATTCTTTACTTGTTCTAAACCTTAATGAGAATATAGACAAACCTAACAATAACATGAATTCTGGTGTAATGCAACTGGTGACTGCTTCCTAATCACTGATTTTCACCCTAGCTATTTCATTAACTTCACAACACCTTATTTTACCCAACTTTTATCCCATCTACAGTATAATGGAATTACACTGTTACTGGGTATTACTGTGCTCCGATGTTTCGTCATTAAAAACAATGATTCTGCTCTTTCTCTAAGCATATTCATCAAGTTAATGATTTCATTCTCGACATTTCGTGTTTTAAAGATTTTGAATTGGGGCCTCCCTGGTGGTACAAGGGGTTAGGACGCAGCACTGTGACGCTGTCCACAGCCCCTGCAGCACTGGTTCAATCCCCAGCCAGGGAGGTGGCCCACATGGCGCAGGAGACCTCTCCTGACTCGCCCACTGCTCCCCTGAGCAGTGTATTTCAGTCAGCCTGCCTGTTCTGTTCCCCACTGTCTCTGGTGAATCCTCTCACCCGCCGCACTTCTGGCCTGTACCTCAGCTCTTGTATGCATAAATAAATCTTTTAAAAACTTTGAATTGTATCACATACATCTTTGCAACATATTTTTTTTCTTTCCACCTATAAAAAACATCCATGTATGTATAAGAATGCATTATATTTTTAATTTATTACTGGACTTTATTAATACTTTAGTATGTATTTTATTTGTAAGAATGGTCTCCAGTTGGCTTTTTAGTTTTGCAATAGTCTCTCCAGGTTTGGGTAGCAAATTTTGAATGAATTAGGGTATTTCCTTCCCTGCTCCCCCCTTTCTTTTCCTATATTCTGTAACAGTTCAAACAGCATAATTATCAATTCCTTGAAAAAACTGGCCAAATGTGTATCACTTTATAGAAACTTTCTGAGGACATTTTTTAATAACCAGTTTCTTGATTATTAGCGTTTATCTGCTTCATTTTTGGTAATTCTTAAAATTTTTATGTATTTCAAAAAATAGCATCCATTTCCTTGGAAACCACCGTTATTATATTCTTCTAGCAATAAAATTACAGACATGTTATGAGTGCAGTTCTTGGCACATTCTTACTACAAGTTCTCTTCCCGCTGCAAAAAAGCAGACACATCAACTTTGCAAGAAATAGGGAGGAAAGTTTTCTAAGACAGCCTGGAAATTATCTGGATGATGTCACAGCTAAACTGTCCTCATTCCTCCCATTCTTCAAAATTAACTTTATAATTTGTCATCAGAGTTGTACTCTTACAAAAGGGTAACTAGCTACCCTTTTGTCGAGAACAGACTGCTATGGAGTAAATTTGGAAACAGTGCAATGGTGAGATCTGGTCAGATTTTGAAATAATCTTGATGGGAGAGTCAACAGGATTTACACATGTAATATGCTTCCATCAGTAACATTACATAACAGGCAGATTCTCAGCCACGTACATCTTTTGCTGAGAATCACTAAACTGACTTCAAGTTCTACAAAAATAAGGTCCATTATCATAGTTGTGTATGCCCATTTATTCTAAGCATAATGCTTTGTAAACCAGCTGAAATTCATGCAGATGTTTAAAATAAATGAGACTTCTGGATTCAGTTCTGACATGAGATTGATTACAACAAATTAGTCTACTGCAAAATTTTGGGTCTTATGTTGCTCCAGAATTTTCAGTAGAAGGTACCTATGAGGCCTCCCCGGTGGTGCAGCAGGTTGAGCATCCACAGCCTACGCGGCGCTGGTTCAATTCCCACCCGGCCGGGGAGATTCCCACATGGCGTGATAGACCTCTCCTATCTCGCCTGCTGCTCCCCTCAGTAGTGTATTTTGGTCCTTCTGCCTGTTCTGCTCCCTGCTCTGTCTCTGGTGGATTCTCTCACCCTCCCATGCCTCTGGCTTGTACCCTAGTGCTTGTGTAAAAAAATAAATCTTAAAAAAAAATAATAAAGAAGGTACTTATGAAACACATGGGGAGATGTTAGATAGAAAAATTAATGTTTGGGTTAGAACCTTGCTTTATTTAAATGTGTTCCTCATGATATAACACAACCCTTAAAAATCAATCAAGTATGTAACATTAATACGTTTCCTCAAAACTTAGATAGCTCATAGCCACAGCTACTACATTTCCACAAGACAGCTTCCATAATGCAGAGAGCACAATATTATGATTGTGCTATCAAATTCCACATTATATGCAAATTTAAGCAAAGAAAATTAGAGCACTACCAGACTATAAAACTCAGTAAGATCCTGTACTATTTGGTACATACCTACTCCTCAACCCCCTCAACTTATTTCTCAACAGAGTTTTAAAAAGAGTTAATACCTGGGCTCCATCCCAAGTGAATTAAATCAGAATTCCTACAAACCATCATTTTTTTAAAGTTTATGCAGCAATCTGAATGTCAGCCTGGGTGAAGAACCACTGCCCTGACAGTCTTGAAACAAAATAAACAAGAATTTAAAAGCACAGCCCAGGAAAAGTACAGGAACATGAGTAAATTTAAAATCACGGGGCTTACCCTATAACATCTTGACCTCTGAAAGGTCCAAGGATTGCTAATATTAGAATCTATATCATAATCTTATCTATTAAGCAGTTAAGATAAAGCAACATAAAATATGGGGCAAAGCGGAGCTAATCTATAAGGAGAATTTGTGTCTTCAAGTTCTTACTGGTATGAGAGTCCTTCAAGCCCGGAGCTACTCCAGACCAATCATGAAAAAGAAGACAATATCATTTTAAACAGGTTCAGTGGTATATACACTACAGCAAAGGCTGGCTGTAGCAAATAGTTTCATTCTAAACCTGCACTGATGTATAAATTAGACATTTGGGAATGATTAATTTCTGCTAAAATGTTGATTTACTCCATTATCACACCAATTTTTACATTTATTGTAGACATAATTTTAGGACTAGAGGTTAAATTTTCATCACCAAACATGAGCATAATCTTAAAACTACTACCAAGTAATGAGCTGTGAAATTAATTTCACAGTACTGCTTTGAAAATATACCCCTAGGTTGTTAAAAGAGACATTCCAACTTCATCCAAATGTATTATTTAACTGGAATTTTTCAATCATCATCTACTGTTGGCTTGATTGTCACTCCTCTTCTTATTTGACCCCAACCAATTAAGCTGCAAAATGAAAAGAAATCATGAGTTTTACATCCATTTTATTATCATGAGCACAAATCATATTAACTGCTTTTATTTGCCAATCTGTTAAATTTAATTTTTTCCCCCAAACCTGCTGCCTCCATAAAGAAAGCCCACACTATCCTCTTAAGATTCTTACACCTAGGTGGGCCTTAGCCAGAATGAATGATAGCAAAAAGGTTGATATTATGACTATGCTATTCCTCGCTATCAAAATATAACTACCTCTTCAGAATCGCTAGAGAGCCTTTCAGAACACATATGGAACCATGCTGATACCAACTCAGGTTCATTTTTTTTTTTAAATGTCATCTGCTATCCTTTTCCTCTGAAAAATGCTTTCATAACATTCATGGTACCTCAACAAATCACAACAGCTTCAGCATGACCCTAGGTGCAGCATGCAGTCTATAAACACTCTCAACAGCAAAGGGACCTCTACTCCTTCTTTCAATGCCTGCTCGAATCAATGAGCAGACTGGACTGCTACTTCAGCTGTAGCTTCTAGAACAAAACTGATCTAAACATGAGCGAAAACCATAACTGTAAAGAAAACAAGGATCATTCAGACTCTTATTTCTCTCTCTCTTTTTTTAAAGATTTATTTATTTATGCATACAAGAACTGGGGTACAAGCCAGAGCTGTGGGGAGTGATTCACCAGAGACAGAGTGGGGAACAGAACAGGCAGATTGACCGAAATACACTGAGGGGAGCGGAGAGTGAGTCAGGAGAGATCTGCTGCGCCGTGTGGGTAGCTCCCTGGCGGGGATCGAACTCGTGCTGTGGAGGCTGCGGAAAGCTTCATAGGTTGTGTCTTAATCCCTTGTGCCACCAGGGAGGCCCAAGACTCTAACTTCTTTTAATAGTTATAACATAAAAAATAATTCTAGCATACTTGCTAATTTTTAAGCAAAGTCTAAATTTTCATTTCGATAGAACCCGTATTATTAGTGGGCAAACACAAAAAGATCATTTTTTTTTTTTTTAGAGGTATGTATTTTTTATTTATTTATTTGTACATGCACTGGGTACAGTCACAAGCGCGGGAGGGTGAGAGAATTCACCAGAGCCAGAGCAAGGAGTAGAGCAGGCAGAAGGACTGAAGTACACTGCTGAGGGGAGCAGCGGGTGGCAGGAGAGGTCTGCGCGCCATGTGGGACCCTCCTCCGGTGGCCGGGGAGCAGCCGGGGATCGAACCGGTGCTACAGAGGCTGCGGGCAGCTTCGCAACCCAGCGCTCAACCGCTACGCCACCGGGGAGGCCCAAGATCATTTGTTTTAAAATCTGTTCTAAGCTAGAAAGTGACTGTACCATTTTAACTGAGACTAAAACATTCCACGATGAGGTTTTGAAAGTGTATTATTTAAGCCTATTTTAAAATACAGCAGAAATTAGTATGTCTATAATAGCAAATAGTATAATCACATGGAAGAGTAAAATTAAATAGACTTAAGTCACCACAAAGCAGTATCATTTAATTCTCCCCAAATTAAGGTAATAATTCAGATGAATCTTCTGAATATGAAGTGATTAGAGGTCACCGTGGGATACAGTTATCAAGAAAGCTTTAATAAAAAAGGGAAACAGGGGGGCCTCCCTGGTGGCGCAGCGGTTGATCGCTGGGTTGCGAAGCTGCCTGCAGCCTCTGCTGCACCGGTTCGATCCCCGGCTGCTCCCCGGCCACCAGAGGAGGGTCCCACATGGCGCGCAGACCTCTCCTGCCGCCCGCTGCTCCCCTCAGCAGTATACTTAGGTCCTTCTGCCTGCTCTGCTCCCTGCTCTGGCTCTGGTGAATTCTCTCACCCTCCCGAGCTTCTGACTGTTCCCAGTGCTTGTTTAAACAAACAAACAAATAAATAAATCTTTAAAAAAAAAAAAAAAAAAGGGGAAACAGGGAAGGATAAAGAGCTAAGGGTGATCTGAGTAATTGCTGAGACAACCAGGACATAAAATAGTCTCATTTAGTGGGTTTATATTTGAAGCAGACATCTAGAAAGGTCTTTAATATCAGAAAAGTACTACAAATTACTGCGTACAGCATGATAAAAATACATTATTAGAAAGATCGTGACCAACAAAGACAAACTTTAAATCCTTGAAAGCTGACCACAGTACTGTGGCAGCCAGGAGGGAAGAAGGAAGCGTGAGAACTAGGATGGGGGGAGAGTACAATGGACTGTTGTGGAAGTCTGTGAGTGCTTTGGTGGTGGGAGAGCTGCGGTGACCACATCTGAGGAGAAAAACCCTACACTGTCAAAATATTAACAAGGATATAAAACAACGGTAATTCAATAAAATATTAAAAAAAATAGATTGTGACCAAACTCTTAATTAACAAGGAAGAGGCAAACTTAGAATCTTTTGCAGTAACTTTTAAGTGTGAAATGATGGTGGTATGGGCCATAGTGATCACACAGAACAGAAAGGCAAGGATAGATTCAGTAACTAAACAGGGATAGCACAAACTCAGGAGTCAACAATGTATATTCCTAGCTTGAGCCACTCAAAGGGCTGAGAAACAATAGCATCCTAGGAGCAATGAACACACCTAGCACCCAGATCTTCATTTTTAAATACCATTTCCCACTAACAGGAAGCAGGGTGTCTTAGAGAAAACAGCCCATTTCTAAAACTGGAACAGAGGAGGTACAGGACAAGTATGGAAAATCTTGCACCAGAAAGTAAAGATCCTCAAAAGAAACAATGGTGACATGCCAAAGGGATCAGAAGCCAGCTTGAGGGGTCTCTACTAGCTAAATCCTGTAGACAATCTGGGTATCAAAATAAAGAATAATAAATAATAATAAACAGCAATGATTCATAAACCATTGAATAAAATAGGACTCCACGAGTCCATTTTATAACGTAAGTAAACAATGGGGAAGAAAGAATCTCAAATCCCTGATAAATGAGAAGTGGTGGAATTGAGGATGTGTGAGCGAAACCACCATTTTGCAACCACTATAGTCAGGTTCAACGCAGACAACAATCACCAGTGAATGCTAAATCTAAAGGGATGAGATTTGATGAGGGCAGGTTATTGGCACAGTCTGAAGAGTCTGCCCACAGGATGCTTATTAGTCATATGGATAAAAAGAGTACTATAGAGTGGAGGAAATGGACAGCACCTTGATGGCACCATGGAGGAGGAACAGTTACTATGTTGCCTCTAATTCCCCCAGGAGATATCAGCACATATGTAAGTACTCAAGCCAAGAATACATAATCTGAATCTAATCTTAGGAAAAATCAGATGAACCCAAATTGAGGGACACACTATAAAGTTCACTAACTTGGCATCCCTGGCGGTGCAAGGGGTTAAGACAGAAACTGTCCGCAGCCTCTGCAGCACAAGTTCGATCCCCGGTTGGCCAGGGAGCAACCCACATGGCGCAGCAGACCTCTCCTGACTCGCCCGCTGCTCCCCTCAGCAGTGTATTTCGGTCGGTCTGCCTGTTCTGTTCCCTGCTCTGTCTCTGGTGAATCCTCTCACCTTCCGCACTTCTGGCCTGTACCCCAGTTCTTGTATGCATAAATAAATAAATCTTTAAAAAATAAATAAAGTTAACTAACTTGTGCTGCTCATAATTGTCTATTGTTCAGATTGGAGGTTAGAGAGAAAAGAAAACTAAATGTAATGCATGGTCCTAGACCGGAGGGATACAGGAGAAATTATTGGAATGAGCAATAAAACTAGAATGTAGACTGCAGATTTCTGTATTTTTTAAGTTAAACTTTTTGAAGTGGTCAGGTAAGAGAATATATTTGTTTTTAGGAAAAATACACCCAAATATCTAAGAGATACAGGGGCATGATCTATACAACTCCTCCTCAAATGGTTAAAAAAAAAAATTTTTACACACACAAATTGTGTAGCTGAGTATCACATTCAAGAAAAAGTGTTCATGTGCATATGTGCCAGAACAAATTTAAGGAAATCAATCATGCTTTTGTTTTTATTAGATATTGACAAAGACTAATAAACTTACCGCCAGTGTTTCTCAACTCTTCGGCTAAGGGCAATTTTTTCTCCTACTTCTGTGCACACGGGATTAGTCAGAACAATTTTGCCCAAATCAGCCTTGACGGCACTGACTCTCCCCCCTGTTGACAGGGATCCTATGTTCACCATGAGTACTTCATTCTTAGACAGCTTTTGCACCTAGGGAAATAATCGGGGAGGAAATAAAGCCCCAAATCAAGAAAATGCCGTACCAAAATGAGGGGGAATTTATTCATTCATCTTTTCTTTTTTCTTAATCTATGTTAACTATAAAAGAATGAACCTCAAATCCAATCTTAACATCACTATCATTTTTTTTTTTAATCAGGAATTACAGAAAGCACTTTACCTTTGCGGCTTTTTTATCTCCTTCAGTGCGTACACCCAGAAGCCGTCTAAGTAGGAAATAGGAGATTTCCAATTCTGTGAAGATTTCAGGTAAAGCTCCAACTGCACCAAGTACCTGCCCCACCATTCTGTCCGCCCGGCACAAAGTGGGGTCAATTTTTGTTCCAACTCCTGATATAAAATAAGACGCATAGTTCAACTTTTAATTTCTATAAAGCTGTTTACCCAAAACCTTAGTCAAACAAGTACAGCATAAACCTATATTTATATCTTCATACTCATATAATAGTTAGGAGGGACTGAAAACTGTTTTATCTGAAGAAACAACTAAAACTCACAGGTAAAGTTGGGCATTTGAGAACAGAAAGATTCTCTTTATTGAAATTCTAAATAAAGGGCAAATAGAGATAACAACCTAACTAAAAACTGAGTCCGAGTATTCTTAGCAAAGGTTGGTAAGGTACAAAACCCACGAGTGGTTTGCAGAATATTTGCCTGCCATTTCTACTCTTGAAGACTGATTAACAAGACAGTCTAAGACTTCGTATATTATTCCTGGGATTGACTTCAAGATATTTTAGCTTAATGTGTTTCAAGGAAGAGAAAGAAGATACGCAGATGAAATAAGATGGAAAGTATTGGTAACTGCTGAACCTAGGTGGTGGCTACGTGAGAGTCATCACACTATTTTCTCTAGTTTTGTTTGAAAGGTTCTGTAAATAACCTTTAAATAACACTTCGACTTCTCTGCTTATAAAAACAAAACAAAACTTAGATTGAAACTATATATAGTAAATTCTTAAAAGGATACAATAGAAAAATGAACTATATAGCCCAAAACCAGAGAACCAAAAGACACACTCCTTTCTTGACCAATTTCTTCTTGACTCCAAAGGTGTAATGCCTCTGACTAATTCTCACTGTACTTTTGCCTTTTTCTGAGTATCAGGTAATACATTAAGTTGTAAGGGACCAAAAAATCCATAAACAATCTCATAATTCTTACACAATGGAAGTTATCTTCTATTATTCCCACCTCAGAGTAAACATGATCTGACATGATTCGAATGACCACTGTAGGTAATTTTCCTCTTACAAAACATACATAAAAACCACCCCTACCCCAAAACTACACAGCCCTAAAAAAGTATAGGTGGGCATTCTAAATGCTAGGCCATGAAACTTATTGATGAAAAGGAGTTCCTTTATATGCAGATGTGTATTAAGATGTAGTCTTCTTAATGCCTAAAAAATAATCTTTACAAACACATGAAACCATCCATCCTCTGACTGAAAGTCCAAGTTTACCCACACTAAGAATATTGCCCCATCCCATTCACATACCAAAACATGCAACTAAAAATCTACAACACCTCTTTCTGGGTAATCCAGTTCCCATGAAAAGTACCATTAATATCCACAAATTAAAAGCACAGAGATGAAAAGGAAATTCTTACCAATCAGACCCCCTGGAGCAGCATACTGAAGATCATTATGCTCTGCAAAAAGTGATACAATTTTGGAAAAGATTGGTTTACACATGAGTTTTCCTTCACTATCTTTGGAAACAATACCAGGTCTGACTTCTATCTCCTGGCCCACCTGTAAATAGATAAATCAGTGATTAGAAATCACTGTAGGACAAGAACAATAACATTTTCATATAAAATGGATGACCACAAAACTGAAAAGGCAATCTTTTCTCTACTTCAAAGACCACTATCCTCAAAACCAGAACCATCCAACAGTGCTAATTATCTACCACACAAACCAAGGACTACATGAACCGTGCTCCACACTCACAAGGAATCCATGTTAGGGGGTCAGCCACATTCAAAAGACATGATAGTAAACAAAGAAATCTATATGAAGTACTAGAACCATGAAACCTTTTATTTTTCAATTGGGAGCGTTCATACTATTTTCCTAATTAAGACAAAAGAAAAACAAAACAAAAATCCAGTTTACCTTTAATACACCTTTTAGAATACTACCACCAGCTACACCCCCCTTAAGGTCATCAACTTCACAGCCAGGTTTGTTGACATCAAAGGATCTAATAACTACAAGAAAACAAAACAAATTAAAGCCAATTCTGTTCATTTTAATTTTAGAACATTATTTTCTAAGCTAACTTTCCTAAAATAGTAGCCACATAAGATTTATACCATATAGGGAATTTTGTGACAAATTAATACTAGCACAATTAAGTTTACTAAAGTCTTACTTATGATGGAAAACTAAAAATAACTTGAAAGTTCACTGACAAGCATATTAGGGTACAGCCATACAATGGGGTATCATGCAACTTAAACAATGTTAGAGTCATATGTAGCAATCTAGAAAAATAACCCTCATATAATGTTAAGGTTAAAAAAAGAAAAAGCTGGGCCTCCCTGGTGGCGCAAGGGGTTAAGAAGCAACCTATGAAGCTATCTGTAGCCAGTGCAACATGAGTTCAATCCCTGGCCAGGATCGAACACATGGCACAGCGGACCTCTCCTGACTCGCCCGCTGCTCCCCTCAGCAGTGTATTTCAGTCAATCTGCCTGTTTTGTTCCCCGTTCTGTCTCTGGTGAATCCTCTCACCCCCCACAACTCTGGTCTGTGTCCCAGTTCTTGTATACATAAATAAATAAATCTTTTTTTAAAAAAAAAGCTAGTTACAAAAATAAAATGTATAGTATGATCCCATTTCTACAAAGAAAAACAAGAAACATGTATATGTGTATACATGATAATAACAACAGTGTAGTAATAATATACCAGACTTATTTAAGAACACTTCCCACAGCACACAAGGGCCCCAGGAGAAGGCCAGAAGGGCTTAGATGTGTATGGAAGTTCTAAATAAACTGTTTCTGACTAAAATGGTGTAATTCCATACAGAATACTGTATCACTCCATCTTGATCACATATCACATACTGAGCAATGAGCACAGAAAAGGTTAAAAGTTCCTACTACAGTCAGGATACTGTTCCTCATCCCTGTAAATGCAATCTAGCACTGCAAACATATTCTCAGAAATAATTTCAAACAAAACTTTTATGAAGACTGTCACTTTTTATCACCTCTGCAGAAAGGAAAAATATTAACAAACACCCTTACAGAGGAGAATCACCAATACAAAAAAGATCAAATTGTTAAAGACAAGTCCTATCACTTACCAATAAGTCGGGGTTCTGAAGTAAAGTCTCTTGGGGGCACTGGAATTTTCTTTACTATGTACTCACAGACAACTTCTATATTGTATTTCAGTTGAGCAGAAATTGGTATAATCGGAGCTCCTTCTGCTACTGTACCTGTAAGACAACGTTCAGAGAGATCAAAATTCTTCAGCTTTAGACCTTATTTTATATGGATCATGTGAAACAGTGAGGATTACTAAACAGATGCTTAATACTCCTACACAAATGCCACTAAAGGTAGAAAGGAGAATTCTGTTTAGAGAAGGTGGCAATATTCAATGTTTTTTATTCCTCAAAACGGACACTATTTCCTTTAAGAGAAAAATTGTTAAATTATACTAATATACCAAAATGAAAATTGTTTAAAGGAATAAAATACTAACATATCTGGGAAAGAGCATTTTACTAGTTGAAAGATTTCTAATAACATGTAAATAACCTCCCAATAAAAGTCAGGATAAAATCACTGATTCTTTACTAACGAAAGACTCCTAGAGCATATATTTGCTCCTTAGTAATTTTATGTCAATGTAAAAGAAATGGAGCAAACATAATTAATCAAAATGACATTCCTTTTCCTCATGATAGAACTGGGCTCACAGGAAGTCTATCTTTGTAACAAGAAAATCAAGGCTAAGAGCATCAAATAAATGTCAACAATAAGATACATCATGTTCCCTTGAAATGAAAAACACAATGTTGTACACTAAAGATTAAATAATTGTCAGCTCCAAATCTCAAATTATTCAATAAGAAGCATGGAAAGCTTAACTTTTTTTTTCTTTTGAATGTTTCCATTTTTTCCTATCACTGAGGATTTCCTTAAAATCTGAGTTTCTAGGGGGCCTCCCTGGTGGCACAAGGGGTTAAGATGCAACCTATGAAGCTATCTGCAGCCACTGCATCATGAGTTCAATCCCTGGCCAGGGAGCTACCCACATGGTGCAGCAGACCTCTCCTGACTCGCCTGCTGCTCCCCTCAGCAGTGTATTTCAGTCACTCTGCCTGTTTTGTTCCCCACTCTGTCTCTGGTGAATCCTCACTGCCCGTACCTCTGGCCTATACCCCAGTTCTAGTATGCATAAATAAATTAAAAAAAAAAAAAAAACTGAGTTTCCAGAACATAATTTCAGTTCTTTCAGTTAACAAAAACATTACTTTATCAAATTCATACATGTAGATTTCACTAGTTATATTAGGTGGCTAACAAGGAATGGATAGAGAAATAAGGCTTAAAATCCATAAATGTACCCAGTTTTAGGTAATTTATATTAGAAGCTAATTTAACATCTGATGTCTGGATTAAAAACCTCTTAAAGTTACTCACAGGTTTCTTAAACATTATGGCTTACCTTGTACAAATGCAAGGATCTGTTCATATTGTTCTTTAGCCTGGCTTTCTTTTACCAAATCAATTTTATTTTGTAGAATCAAAATATGCTTTAGTTTCATGATTTCTATAGCAGCCAAATGTTCCGAAGTCTGAGGTTGCGGACAAGATTCATTACCAGCTAGATGAGTAGAAAAGATGCAAGACAATCAGCTGGAAATATCCAAAATAGGCAAATTCATAGAGATAGAAAGTAGATTAGTGGCTGCAAGGGGCTGGGGATAGGAGGAATATGGAATGACTGCCTAATGGACACGGAGTTACCTGTTACCTTTTGGGGGATGAAAAAGTTCTGGAACTAGATAGTAATGCTGTTTGTAGGACACTGTCAATGTACTTACACTGGACTGTACATTTTAAATGGCTATAATGGTAAATTTTATGTTATGTGTAGTTTAAGACCAAAAAAAAAAAATTAGCTGGTATCTAATGAAAGCAATTTTTGAATGCCCTAGCTACTCAAAGCAAGACTACATATCATCACCAAGTCTCCATCTCTTGCCCTGCTTCATCTGTGTCTGGGTTCCCTGGAGCCTCAGGATCTTTTTGGCTCCCATTCCTAGTCCTAAACAAGAAGCTTAGAAACAACAAGTCTGGCTTTTCTGAATCTGCCCTTAAGTGTGGTACTCTTGCTCTGCCTAGTCTTAGAGATGCTCTGGCGCGTCAAGCTCCTGACAAACAGAGTAAGAGGGAAGATAATTAATCCAGTTGATGAATTTCAACTATCATCAGAGGCAAATCCTCAACAAAGGGAGGGAAGAATACTAACTGTGAACATAACAGTGTAGAAATAGGAATGTTTTGCTGAGCCCTCCAAGGACCATCCTCCCCAGGCAGTGATGTTCAGATATCCTCTATTATATCCACTCAGCGTGCTTTTAAAAATTTTATCCCATTGCAGTAAAAGTCTCTTGACAGATCACAAAAGGAAGGCAGCACAAGTCTAGTCTTGAAAACCCTGATTCAGGTCTAGCCTCCACTCCTTATTATGAATGAAATGTGCATCTAAATAAAACCATTACATGTCAGTGTGGCTGTGGATAATACAGATGGGGGAAAAACACACTCACAAGTAAATTTAAAACAAAAGAAATAAATTTCATGAAATTTAAACAGGAAAAATCCACCTTTAGCAGATTTTTGTCTTTTTTTTTTTTTTTTGATACCAACATAAGAATTCTCACAAGACATCATCCCCTGATCAATCTTGTTTAGCATTTTGTGACAGTTTGTAGGAGGGGACATCATCCTGGATGATCTGTTAGATCCTGTTCACATCACACTTGGGTAGTGAACATGGACCTTAAAGCCTTAGATCTCCTTTAAGTATTCCATCTAAGATTTGTTCCACAGTGATTTATCCAAACCAATTTTGATGTGTTTACCTATTAACAGAAGAGCTGCATCCATCACTGCTGCACCGTTCAGCATAGTAGCCATCAAAATATCGTGACCAGGACAGTCAACAAAGGAAACATGTCTAATAATAGAGAAATAACTATCAGCTCTAAGATCAATTGATACTCTTAAATGTGCAAGTTATAGATTTCCTAAAATCACTTTAAAAATACAATGTGAATACTCCTTATGAACATGGAATAAGGAAATACTTCTTAATTGCTATAAAGCCAAGTGGTTACAGAATTGGTATTTCTAGATCTTAGACATAAGATTACTTATCAACTAAGTAAAAACACTGTAGATCATTATAAAGCAAATGAAATGAGGTTTGCGCAGAAATAACTCAAGAGGGCCTCCCTGGTGGTGCAGGGGTTAAGTCAGCGCTAGCAAGCTATCACCACCCACTGCAGCATGAGTTAGATCCCCAGCCAAGGGAGCTGACCCATATGGCGAGGCAAACCTCTCCTGCCTCACCCACTGCTCCCCTCAGCAGTGTGTTTCAGTCTGTCTGCCTGTTCTGCTCTCCACTCTGTTTCTGGTGAATCCCCTCCTCCACACCTCTGGTCTACACCCCAGCTCTTGTATGCATAATACATCTTTAAAAAAAAAAAAAAAAAAAAAAGAATTAACTCAAGAGCCAGAAATTCTCAAATCCAATCAAAGAAAAGTATATATTAGAAATGTTATGTAGTTGAAAGCAAAAACAGCATTAATAGAATGGGCATCTTCATCTAAAAACATAATTTTGCCAAAAATTTCCTTAACACCTTAAAAAAGCTAGAATTGTTAATGGGAGCTGGAGAGGGCATTACTCTTTTAGTGAAACCATGCTACTCATTCCAAATCATTATTTAAAAAAAAAAGTCTGCTTATCCCGTCATGATCTAAAACAGGAGAAAACCACTGTACTTTGGTGAAATGTGACCCACTGCCATACCCAGTCACACACGGTCTACATCTGCTTTCCTATCACAAGAGCAGAGATGAGTCGCTGCACTGAGCACCCATGGCCTGCAGAGCCAGAAACATTCACTCTCTGGATCTTTATAGCAAAGTTTGTTGATTCCTGATCAGGACCTAAAACCATGATAAAGCCAAAGAGGCACTTGTCTCAGGTACAAAATTTAAGGGGGTGCCAAAAAAGTCAGTATCCAGAATAACTAATATTTAAGTTTAATATTTAAAAAGATCAAAATTGCCAAAAAAAAAAATCACAGGAATATCAAAATAGTAAATGAAATAGGATCAGTAACAATGCCAAGTCAAGCCCAAAACAGTGATACTGAGAGAAAAAAAATCTGTAATACTGAGCCTGTTTTTATTTTTAAAAATGGTATTGTCATTTCTTTGTGTGAATTAAAAAAAAAACAAACACTGCATTAAAATACCATTTATCTTGATTAATGTGCTTTTGTTTTAGTAACTCCTCCCAAACCCTCCCACCTTAAATTTTGGGCAGTCCCAGTTCTGCCCAAGCTAAAATTTCCTTGTAGGGCATCCTCATCCCCCCAAAACATCACTAGGTAGATATCAGTATTCTCTGATCAAAAACCAGGATATGCAATCATACTCAGAAAAGAGATGAGCAACAAGACCATGTGTTTGACATAATCAAGGATGGTTTTGTTCCTCTCCTATCTGAGACACAGAAACAATACTATTCAAAAGAAATTTTCAAAGCCTGAGCAAGAAAATCCCCTCCATTCCATTCCCCTCATGATACTTTTCCTTTGCAGAATTTGCACGTAAGTAGCTTAACAAAGGTTAAATACTTGACTTTTCAACTATTGTCATTACAAACAAAAAATAACATGGAAAAATAAAATTCAGTAATTACATTCACTGTTTATTATCTCAGTTAAATATCCCAAAAAGCACAAATCACAAGATAATAAAATATAAAGTGTAAAGTGTATTCAACACAAAAGAAGTTACCTGACTAATTTAAAGTTCCCTTTGGTCCCTGGAATGTCTGTAGGAAACTCATCAGGTGTGCTACTTCCACAAGATCTGTAACATTCTGGACGAGGACAACTTGGGTCATCAAGTTTGTAAATCTAAACGTTTCAATGAAAGAACAAAAGATTTGGATTTGTTATTTGCATACTGTTAAAGTTTGTTTCCAGTTCCACAGTATATAGCTTACCTTAGCGTTGGCATATCCAAGTTTGATTGTAATGTTTCTTTCTAGTTCATTTTTGAACCGGACAGTGTGAACTCCGGAAATAGCTTTGACAACTGTGGACTTCCCATGAGCTACATGACCAATTGTACCTAGACAAAGCACAAAAATTTTACGTGTATTCAATTACCCCAAGTATTTTTTCAAAAAGAATAGAAAACCCAAAGCCATGTTTCACTACAAATATCATTAAAAACCAACAACTTCAATTTTTCTCCGACCTTTTTTTCCCTACTAAAAACTTATTCCGGGGCCCTCCCTGGTGGCGCAAGGGGTTAAGCACCACACTCTGAAGCAATCTGCAGCCTCTGCAGCATGAGTTCGATCCCCAGACGGCCAGAGCGCAATCCACATGGCGAAGCAGACCTCTCCTGTCCCACCCGCTGCTCCCCTCAGCAATGTGTTTTGGTCAGTCTACCTGTTCTGCTCCCCACTGTCTCTGGTGGTTCCTCTCACCCCCCACCCCACATCTCTGGCCTGTACCCCAGCTCTTATATGCATAAACGAATGAATCTTTAAAAAAAAAAACAAAAAAAAAAACTTATTCTGAAACACAACTGAAGGGAATTGTCCACATAAGCGAAAATATTTGCTTAAAAACCACTCACAGTAATAAAAGTTCTTTATCTTATGCTTTTAATCACAGAAAAGGTTCCCTTCCTTTAAAACAAGCACTGATAATCTTGTATATTAGGAAACTTTCCAGCATTTCCCAAGAGAAATAAATAGGTACTGAGAGCCATGATACAATGAAAAGGAATCCAAGTTTAATTACAGTAATGCTGTCAAGAATAAATATATCTTATAACTTTTTATTAGCCTCATGGTAACGCCTTACTTTCAACTATGTTTTACTGTGCTGCTTGTACACATTCTCAAATATCCAAAATTTACATTCGGTCAACATAACTTCTCCTCTAAAGTTGCAGGTGCCAATTAAGGGGGAAAATAATCTCCTTAATAACAGCTTATATATCAAATAAAATTTTCACAAACTCTGCCCTTGCCATAACCCTTGTATGGCCAGTACACCTCTTCTTTAAACTTCTGCTTAAATAATTGCCTTATGTTACTACCTTTTTCTTACTTCTATCTTTTCTTCTCACCTAGTCTATAAACTAGGCATGGGCAACACACATTGTGCTTGCCAAAAAAATCTAGCCGGTGCTATGCCCACACATGCTAAAGAAGTATTCCTTGAATACCTAAGACTACACTTTCATGTATAACTAGTTCCTTACTATTTCTTGAATATCTACATTATCTTAAAGTATTGGCAACCACACAAGGAGAGATTAAAATTACTTGCCAGAAAAGAAAAAAAAAATCATTTGCCACAGCTCAAGCCAGGCCTCCACGTTATTTTTATCTTACCTATGTTAATTGTAGCTTGTCTGCTGATAACTTCGTGTGAAAGTGGCGTCAACTTGGTCACATCCTGCAAAAACAAATTTTAATTTTAAATAGCAGAACTAAGGCAAATCACAACTTTTCTTATGATTTTACAATACTACCTACAGTTTGTGTCCAACTAAACACCTTCTACTTCAAAAGCGCATGTCCTGGGTAAGCAACTTTGTACCTTGATGACTGGGAAGCCCTCGGAGTCCTACATCTTTACACAAAACTACACCTCCATTCATTATGGGAAATGTGAAGCCCCGAATCGCTCGCCCGCCCGCCCGCCCCCCCCAACTTTGACAGCGTTAGTATTGAGGACAGAGTACACAGATCCTTCCCAGATCTCCCCAAGTGAAAATCTTAATGGCATTTAACACCATGACTTTCCAACCGAAACCTCTGGGGGGGGGTCGGGGTGTCCCTTCACATCCCTACGCTCGGCTCGGGGACGGCCGGAGGTATTGGAGGAGGCCCGAGCCTGGCTTAGGGAGCCGGACCCTGGCGCTCACTAACACATGCTCCCGCAGCCCAGCCTTGCTTCGACTCAAAACTCCCCAGAAATCGCGGCCATCGCCACTCCAAAGCTCACTTCATAACCCCCCGGCTAGGAAACCTTACCAAAGTAGCGAGATCCTGGCGGGAAAGGTGAGGCTGCCCGAGAGTCACTCCACCCTCGCCCCCCGCCATGTTGCCCAGAGAGGAAGGAAGTGGCCTGGGCTGCTGCCTGACCGAACTCGGGCCCCCTGCTGAGAGGCGGAGACGTGGAGGCGGGAAGGCCGCCCAGGGCAGGGCCTGGGAAAGGAGAATGACTGGCGCGGCAGGAGCCTCACTGCTCGGACGTCTCTCCGCTTGGGTTTGCAGAGTGCTGCCGGTAGGCTGAGTGGAAAATACGGGGCAACGTTTCGGGGCCTTTTAGCCGCGCCCCTGGTAGCCGAGTGTGCAGGCAACGCAGAGGGCAGCCCCGCCGAAGGCCCCCAGCTCGGCGGGTCGGGCAGCCCCACGCGCGCGCTGGCAAGGGAAAAGTCATTTCCGTTTCCCGTGGGGATGGCCGGAAGAGTCTCCCGGAACCTGGGAATCTTAGCTGGGGTGTGGGGACGGAAAGTGGAACGTCCTTCTTCACCGAGTTCCGTAATTTAGTAAGGCGAGGTCCGCGCAGGGTCCTGCCCTCTGTTTACGGCTCTTGCCTGGGAACGGGTCTCACGCTGAGCCACGCTCACGTCGCCGCGCGTCCCCTGGCGGCGGCAGGGAGGGCGCCCTCACGCGGAGGTTAGGGCAGGGCTCAGGGATAGTAAAAGTGAAGTCCCTAACTTTTTCTCACGGAGAGGTTTCTGGAAGCTGGGAGGTGGTCTGTGGTGGCGCCAGACGGCTCTCAAAATGGAGTTTGCAAACTATAGAAACTAGACGTTTTAAGAACGCGCAAAGTTAGGGATTTTTTTAAAAGCCGATGCAAGAAAACCTACCACTCTAATGGAAAAATTACTAGTAAATCGATATCTGAAAATTTAAAGATTTTTTGAAACTTTTTAAGCCCCTTTCATCGTGTGTTAAAGAAATTGAAAGGGGGTCGATCTTAAAATTTATCACAAAAAATTGGAACCCTGGTGATTGTTTTGCAGTTTATACAAATATAACGGAATCATTATATTGTACACCTGAAACTATTGTGATGTTATATGGCAATGATGTGTGGTGAAAAAGGTTGGGTAATTTTTGGTTTTCTCCATGCTTTCCCATACTTTACAAATGACTAAGTATTTGTCATTGACTAAGTATTTGGTTCTAACCAGGGAAAAAATGTAAGGACAGGAGAATAAGAATTTAGTTTACGTGTGTTCATTGAGTAAGACGAAAATGAACGTTTCATGTCACTTAAGCTTTAGGTACAATAGTTTACTGAAAATAGAAAGTTATGTTTAAACAAATGCATTCATTGCTGGAAATTGTACACTGTATTTTCCATGGGATTTAGTCCCCAAATTTAGAACTTATAAATTTATAAGTTTGTAGACATGTAGAATTTAAATAGTTTAGAATTTAGAATTTAAACCAGCCAATTCATAAAATCCATTAAGGTGATAAAAAATATTGTGGAATTACATAGTAGTGATGCTTGCACATCTTTATGAATATACTAAAATCCAGTAAATTGGGCAGTTTAAAAGGGTAAATCTTATTTGAATTGTATCTCAATAAAAATAAAATTCATTGATAAAAAATAGAACACAATATGCTTCATTGCCAGAAGCTTTTATTGAAAGTAAAAAGTCACAAGAAGTAAGTTATTAATAGGAATAATAGCTCACAAATACTGGCACCAACTTAACAAGTATTACCTTTAATCCTCAACAATCATTTTACAAGTGAGGAAACCGAGTCCCAAAAAGATCAGACATGCACACAATTCCATAGCTAGTAACAGCTGGATTTCAATGCCAGTTACAAGTTTACTTCTTTAAAAATGTGCTTCATTGAAGTAAAATTTGCATACCATAGCATTCATCCATTTTAAATACACCATTCGATGATTTTTAATAAATTCACAGGGTTGTGCAACCATAACCACAACCTAGATTTTGAATATTTCCATCACCCCTTAGAGATCCCTCATGTCCGTTTACATCCCTGTTCCCACCTCTAGTCCCAAGCAACCATTTATGATTTTTCTGTCTCTATAGCTTTGCCTTTTCTGGACATAGTATTTAATTAGAATCACACAATGTGTGGTCTTTGCATCTGGCTTCTTTCACTTAGCATAATGGTTTTGAGGTTCATCCACGTTGTAGTTTCTATCAGTAGTAGCTTTCCTTTTTATTATTGAATGTAATTCTATTGTAAGAACATAACATGTTTTCTTGCTCTCCTCGCCCATTGATGGTATTTTCATTGCTTTCACATTCTGGCTATTGTGAAAAATACAGCTATGAACGTTCATGCACAAGTTTTTGTTACTGTGAATAATGCTGCTGTGAACATTTGTGTACGAGTTTTTATGAAAACATGTTTCATTTCTCTTGGTAAATATCCAGTTGTGAAATTGCTGAGTCCTGTGGAAATCTATGTTTAACATTTTGAGGAACAGCCAAACTGTTTGTTCAAAGTAGCTGCATCATTTTACGTTCCCAAGAGTAATGTATGAGGTCTCCAGTTTTCTCCACATCTTTACTAGGCTTGATAGTCTCTCTTTTCTTAAATTGTAGACATTCTAGTGGTATGGTTTTAATTTGTATTGCTCACCAATAATGGTGAGCATCTTTTCATGTACTTACTAGCCATCCATTCTTATCTTTCTTGGGTAAAACATCTATTTTAGGGCCTCCCTGGTGGCACAGGGGTTAAAGTCTCAGCGCTATCAAGCTATCGCCAGGCACTGCGACATGAGTTCTATCCCCCGCCTGCCTACCAGGGAGCAACCCACATGGCCAGGGAGCTAACCCACATGGCGCAGCAGTCCTCTCCTGTCTCACCCACTGCTCCCCTCAGCAGTGTGTTTCAGTAGATCCACCTGTTCTGCTCCCCACTCTGTCTCTGGTAAATCCTCTCACCCCCCGCACCTCTGGCCTGTACCCCAGTTCTTCTAACCCATTTCTTTAAACTGGGTTGTTTTCTTATTGAGTTGCAAGAGTGCTTTATGTATTCTGGATACAAGTCTTTATCTGATATTATTTGCAGATGTTTTCATCCAGTCTGTAGTTTGTCTTTTCATTTACATTTTTTATGACTTTCTTTTTTTAATGCAACAGATTTTTTATTTTTTTTTTTTGCCTCACCAGCATCCCCTACATCTCTTTGTCCTTTTCCTTTCTCCCTCTCTTTTAACCTCAGAACCCTCATGGTGTTTATTGATGCCCACTGGTTTTTTTGAAAGTGTTTTATATTATCACATTTTCTGCTGCATAAATGTCCAGTATCTTTTTATTTTATTACGTGATTTACTGTACTTAAGTCTTTTTTTTTAAAAGATTTTTTAAAATTTTTTTTTATTATTTATTTATACAAGCACTGGGTACAGTCAGAAGCACGGGAGGGTAAGAGAATTCACCAGACCCAGAGCGGGGAGCAGAACAGGCAGAAGGACCGAAGTACACTGCTGAGGGGAGCAGCGGGCAGCAGGAGAGGTCTGTTGCGCCATGTGGGACCCTCCTCCGGTGGCCGGGGAGGAGCCGGGGATCGAACCGGCGCAGCAGAGGCTGCGGGCAGCTTCGCAGCCCAGCGCTCAACCGCTGCGCCACCAGGGAGGCCCTGTACATAAGTCTCTTAAACTCCCTTTATTTTGCTGAAAATGGCTGCATTTCATCCTTTCTTATGGCCACATAGTACTCCACAGTATCAATATACCACATCTTCTTGATCCAGTTGACCAATGATGGGCATTCAGGCTATTTCCGTGTCCTAGGTATTATAAATAATGCTGCTGTGAACATTGTCAAGCATATGGGTTTTTCATCTTGATGATTTCGTGTTCTTTGAATATATGCCCAGGAGTGGGATTGCTGGCTTGTGGAGTATTTTCATTTTTTGATATTTTTTAAAGTTTTATTTATCTCTGCATACAAGAACGGGGGTGTAAGACAGAGGTGCGGGGGATGGGGTGAGAGGATTCACCAGAGAGAGTGGGAAGTAGAACAGGCAGATATATTGAAACACACTGCTGAGGGGAGCAGCAGGGAGGCAGGAGAGGTCAGCTGTGGTGTCTTTAACCCCTGCGCCACCAGGAAGTCCCTATTTTTAGATTTTTTTGAAGATTTGTTTATACAAGAACTGGGGTACAGGCCAGAGGCGTGGGAGGGTGAGAGGATTCACCAGAGACAGAGCAGGGGGCAGAACAGGCAGACTGACTGAAATACACTGCTGAGGGGAGCAGCAGGAGACACAGGGAAGGTCTGCCGCGCCATGTGGGTATCTCCCTGGCTGGCCGGAAATCAAACCCACACTGCAGAGGCTGCGGACAACCTGCTGCGCCACCGGGGAGGCCTCCATTTTCAGATTTTAAAGGTAAATCCACATTGTTTTCCATAATGGTTGTAATAGTTTACGTTCTCACCGACAGTGTAATCTTTTTTCTCTGCATCCCCTCCTAACAGTTGTTGGAGGTCTTTTTAATATGTGTCATTCTCATGGGTGTGAGATGGTGTCTCCTGGTTTTAACCTGCATCTCTTACTGGAAATGGTCATGAACATTTTTTCATATATCTATTGGCTTTCTGGATGTCCTCTTTGGTGATTCGTCTGTTTATATCTGCTGCCAATTGGGTTGTATTTTATTGTTGAATTTTTTGGGATTTTTAAATATGTTTTGGATCTTAATCCTTTATCAGTTATATATTGTGTGAGTACTTTCTCAGTGGAGTGTCTTTTTAATCATATCGTATTTTCTTTCACTGTATAAAACCTTTTTTTTTTTTTAAAGATTTATTTATTTATTTATACAAGCACTAGGTATAGTCAGAAGCGCGGGAGGGTGAGAGAATTCACCAGAGCCAGAGCGGGGAGCAGAGCAGGCAGAAGGACCGAAGTACACTGCTGAGGGGAGCAGCGGGCGGCAGGAGAGGTCTGCGCGCCATGTGGGACCCTCCTCCGGTGGGCGGGGAGCAGCCGGGGATCGAACCGGTGCTGCAGAGGCTGCAGGCAGCTTCGCAACCCAGCGCTCAACCGCTGCGCCACCAGGGAGGCCCTAAAACCTTTTTAATTTGAGGTGATCCCAATTGTCTATTTTTTACTTTTAGTTCCTTTGGCATAGGGATC